GCTCTTCTGGGGCAACTGCTTCCGCCCCACTGGCTCAGCTCTTGCCAGCTCTTTGAAGCTCCTTCCTCGTAGTCCCTCGCTGGTCTCTTCCCTGAGTCAGCCATGCTGCCCCTTTTATCCCCCTCCAGGTGACCCAAGGGGCCAATCAGGGGACATGAGGGGTGAGTCTCTGGGGCGATTGGTGAGGAAAGGGAATCCCAAGTCCTCCAATCATCTTTTGCCCTTTCAAAACCCCTGGGCTAGGTCACTGCCAGCCAGCCCATCACATAGGGTAACTTATAACAATTTATCAACAATCTGAAAACTCTAGAGCAGTGATTCTTCACCAGGGTGTTGTGCCACAATACTAGGTGTGCAAAGATTCATAAGATCAACTCTGAGATTTCAAATAGGAGTCCATAGTGTCAAAATCATTCTGACCTCTTTTGGGCTTTCTGAGTTCCTTGTGGCAGAAGAATTGCCCTGTTACTTTTCTGTAGTCAAGAAATGAATGAAGACTAACAGCTGGCATTTTTCAAGGGGTGCCTTGACTTTCCTGGGGGCAGGGGGGGAAGTGACTTGAGTCTAAAAAAGTTGAAAACCACTTCTCTAGGGTCTGCAGATTAGCTGAGGAATATTCAAAAGATAGAGCACCCAAGCTTTTGCTTTCATGACAGTTTTCACATACAAAAGTAGGAAGTGATCTTTGATGTCATGGGGTCAGCTTGGTTTCCTGAGATGCAGAAGGTCTTCTGGTTTGGTTTTATAATATGCACAATCATGGTGCCGATCAACTGAGCCTTTAATAGCATCTGTTAAGAAACTGGGCAATTTTGTGGACTAATCGCTTAAGAATTAGAATTTTAGTAACCAAGGTTGTCATTTTCTTAACAGAAGTAGCCTTTTGTTCTGAACTTACCTGGAAATCTTGGTAGTCCTGTATGGTATGTTCCCTCCACTTACCATAGATCTAATAAGGTATGTGGGAGCTAAGCAAAGAAGTAAATACCACTGCCAGAAACCAATGCTTGATTCCAGCGTGTTTGTATTTTCACTCTTAAAGTTTTGCTCAGTCAAAATTACTTTACCAAACCACACCTGCTATCATCTGCTCTGAGTGCTAACACTGAGCTCAAGACCTAAAGATGTGTTGACACAAAAAGGCTGTGTCTCCCAAAGAAGAATAAGAGGCACATACATGCCTCATTAATGAATAAGCTTACATTTCAGGAGAGCAGCAGCAGCATTTTTCTATTTTGCATCCTTAGCCTACACTAAGCAGATCTGTACATTATAGCCTCACTTTCAGTTTCTCTGTACATTCATTATTAGCCTTATTTCATGTTCTATTTTCCACTATAATTCTCCATGGTTTCTTCTTTCCTCCTGTTCCAACAACTACTTCCAATCTTCCTTTGGCAATACTGGTAATATATGTTCTCCATGCCAGCCCGAGAGTGCTTTGTCATCATGAGCTTGATTACCATTTGATAAATTTCACAAAGCCAAGATATATAAAGTGTCATCCAGTTTAAACACTTTAAATTTCTCATTGGGCGAAAAAATATGCATCTTCTATTCCACCTATTGTCAGTTATACAACATTTCAAACTTCTCTTATAATTCTATTTCCATTGAATTGAGAACAGTCCTTGTTTAGTAGCCTATCCGACTGTACTGAAACAGGCACCATTTCATGCTCTAACTTGAATGCAGGGAGGAGAAATGGCCAATAAGTAAAGCTAACGCTGCTCAAGACTGTAAAGAAAATTCTGTCACTCACTCCTAAAAGGCAAGTTTAAGTTTCTTCAAGTTTAAGTTTCTTCTTATTAAAACTAAAAAGTTAAAAAGTATAAATCCTGCCAGAACCACCATCTTGTTGTTAAGGTTTGATGTCAATAGGATCATATCAATCTGGGCCTATGTTACCCACGCTGAATAAACTGTAACATCACCCTTATGACTGCCACCTGGAAACTTCCATAGCTGAAATACTTCCTGTGTCAGGTTTTAACCCAAGACCCATTTTAACAACGTAGCTCAGCAAGTTAAAATATCAGCAGATATATTTATATTCACTACTTCTTAATCCAGGGTAATTCTACAATTGCCTAAAATCTGCAGCCAAATTTAGGGTTTGTGGGGAGGGACAGGGAAGAACGTGCAAGATTAAAGGAACTGCAGCACAGCCCACTTCTGCTGTGAATTCGGTAGGGCCCTATCCATGCAAATTAAGGACAGTTCAATTTGGTTCTCTTTTTATACATGATCTTCAAGTCACAAACTAAGGTATTTTAAATATATGTTAATTATGTTCTATCTTTCCAATTTATGATCCTGCAGTTACATTTAGACATCTTTATTTTATTCTATATTCCAAAATAAAGAAATAAAACATTTAATATTTCTTGTTTTGAGACTAAATATTAATAACATTAATATAATTAATAACTGTTCCTGCTTTGAGCAGAGGGTTGGACTAGATGACCTCCTGAGGTCCCTTCCAACCCTAATTTTTTACCATTCAATGACCATCATACAGTCATTGCCTCCATGTGGGTCCATAACTGGGGGCTTCTGGTAACTGCTAGCACCTGCCCCCATCACCACTCAGCTATCATCACAGGACTCACTGTTGAAGTAAGATGTCCTGTCTTCTTGTAAAGTGGGAATGCTATTGCACATCAACAACCACACCATTCTTTGGGAAGGAAACTTGAATCCAATGGCAAGAAAAACCTAGATGACTAGAGGTTTCTATTCCATGCAGCTTTCATCTGCTTTTTCAGCCATGGTGATATATTCTTTCTTCATATGCCTGCGCCTCTGTGGAGGACTTTTATTTTTGGATTGCTATCATTCTGGAAATCTCGCTCTTGACCTTGCCACCATGGATGACCCTATCAGGAGTACAAAACTCCAGACAGCCTCACTCTTGAGGTTCTTGGTAGTGTAGAAGCCTCTCCGCTATGTCAAGGGTGCAATCCTTGGGAGGACATGTACACAGACATGCACACACTGATTTGAGTGGGCTGGACTCAGATAAAAAAAGGAAAATTAGTTAAAGTTGATACCAATCCCACCAGCCTGACAAAGGAAAGAAAACATGCTTCTTAGCAATACTTACTCCTGTCTTTGAATATGCCAGTCAGTACTAGCAGTTATGCATGCAGACACCTACATGATTCACAAGGTAAATACAGTGGCTTTAAATAGAAATCCAGAGTATCAAAAGTGTTCTGACCCACTGTGGTCTTACTGGGCATCTATCCACATGCTCTGGTATGGAGGGGGCGCACTTTAATTAGAGGGGCTCTGAGAGCCGCTCTAATTAAGTTTCTGCAGCATCATGTGTATTCAGTGTCTGGCACAAAAAATTGTGGTGGGGGCGCTTTAAAGCTCAGTTGATGAGCTTTACTTAAAGCATCCATGTCACCATTTTGAAATACAGGGACAACAAATACACATTAGCATGCATTGGAGCAGCAATCCATCACGTGTAGAGATGCCCTCTGAGTTCTTTGCGACAAAATAATTGCTTTATTATTTTTCTGTAGTCAAAAAATGGGTGAAAGATAGAACTGGCATTTTCTGAAGGGTACCTTGTGTCTCACAAGGTTGAGAACCACTGGAATAAGTATATCTTTGAAATGGTAAAATACACTGATCTGAATCCAGCAGTCTAAATACTTATAATATACCATGTCAGCATTCTTTAAATACATGCAGACTATTTAGATTAACCTGACAATGTTCCCTATTTATGAGGTAATAAATCATATCATGAGCTAAATAAGCCTATTAGATAATAATATAGGAAAATAACTTTGAGGCCAAAAGTCAGTGACTTCATAAGAATGATACAACTATTATTAACAGGAAACACCTTCAATGCAATGACTGTGATGAAACTTGCCTCTTATTCTCTCACTCCAGACTTCTGGTTGATCCCAATATGTTCCTTGAAAATAAAATCCAACGCAAAAACTGGTTATTATCTTTGGAATTCATATTTTTATCTATCTAAAACAAACAAGCTGAAGTGAGCATGGGCTCACAAAAGCTTATGCTATAAATCTCTGATTTAGATAATCTATAAAGTGCAACTTAACCCTGCCTTCAACCTCTGCTTCTACATCCTTCCCAAAACTTCTTTTCACTCAACCTCCACCCCCTGATGCTACATGGCTACTGGACACAGCTCCGTCACTTAAAGACATTCCTTTTTAAGTTAATTATATTTAACATTAGAGGTTGAGTGTGGTAACTTGATGGGGAGAGGATAAGAAACTGAAATTAGCATATTTGTTGTGAGAATATTGCTGGAAAGCAGAGTTCAGAGAAACATTAGCTAACTGGAGTAAATGAGTTGAAAGAGAAGGATTTGACTACTACCCCTCACAGGACATAGTGCATGCTGCTACAGGAAAAAAACCCAGTCTTTATACCAAGCCGGAAAAGTACAGAGCCAGTTGTCAAATGAACCCACCTTCTGATGGAGGTAGATGAACCTGAATATTCTTCATAAACCAAGAGACAGGAGGACATAGTCATGAGATGAAGAGTGGCTGTAGTGTAGGAGATGTGATTCTTCCAAAGAGAGATAACTGGGCTTGTGTTGACTGTAATGTCATTCCTGTGTTCTAACCATCCAAAACAATTCCATTCCCATGTAGTGCACTCTTTACAAATTGTGAGCTACAGCAGGAGCTTAACTGGTTACATATTTATATATTGTCTGATTATTCATTTTCAAAAAAGACCAAACAGTGAAACGTCATTGAGATATGAACAAGTTAGTGTATATCCCTTTTATTATGTACAATAGGGTACACATCATATTTATCCAGATTACTTTTGAACGAGTTCACTTAATAAAATATATTAAAACAAATCTTTCAATAGAACCTTTATCCTGCTTTTTCAGAAGTTAACAGAGAACTTATAGGAAATGCACACTTTCAGCCTTGCATTGATCTCTGTATGTTTAGCCATGAGGAGTCCTATTGGCATCTTCAGGTCTATTCTGAGGTAGCTGCAATGGTTTTTTGGAACTTGCTTTGTATCCAAACTCGCTGCATTTTCACCTTTTTCTTCCTGTTGATTTGTAATCATTGATCAACTAGATTCTGCACTTCAGCTAGTCCAGCTAGGGTGAACATATTGTGTACTTCACCTGTTTCCCCAAAATGAAGAATTACTCCAGTTACAGCATGCTAAACTGATATAGATATTGCTGTCTACCAACTGAATAGCATATAGCTTGTTACAGAAAGAACAAAGCTCTGTCTGCTAGCCCAGCATAGGTACTGCCCCCAAGAAAGCTTTTGCCAAAAGAGCATATTGTCATAACACCTAATTAATTATAGTATAGAATCTCATGCCTGTGGTCCAAAGTACATCAGCCAAAGTAAAGTTCTATGTAAAACCAGCTTTATTTATGATTCTCTGCAGGTGTTACTTTTGCCAATGGTAATCTCTCTTCTCAGCTTCAGATTAATGATGCTGGGAGTGTCAAAAACCCAGAGGGTGCCTGGCACATTAGGGATCTGCTCTATGGCCTGTAACTCTCCTCACCTTCCCAGTCTTGTATTACAAAGATATTGGGCAAGACTCTGAACTGCAGACAATGCAGGTCAGGAGGTCATAAGTGGCACAAAGTCCAGCAGATCCTGGTCTTCTGTGTGCAGAGTCAGGTTCCTGTTCCAGATTACAGTGTCAGTCAACAACCCTCCCTATGGAGAAGGAGTGTGCAAAAGCCATAGAATCATAGAAAGTTAGGGTTGGAAGGGACCTCAGGAGGTCATCCAGTTCAACCCCCGGCTCAAAGCAGGACCATCCCCAACCAGATCATCCCAGCCAAAGCTTGGTCTAGCTGGATTTTGAAAACCTCAAAGGATGGAGCTTCCACCACCTCTCTGGATAACTGGTTCTAGTGTTTTACAACCTTCCTAGTGAGCAAATTCTTCCTAATATCTAACCTAAACTTCCCTTGCTGCAACTTGAGACCATTGCTCCTTGTTCTGTCATCTGCCACCACTGAGAACAGTTTAGCTCTATCCTCTTTCTAACCCCGCTTCGGGTAGTTGAAGGCTGATATCAAGTCCCCTCTCCATCGCCTCTTCTCTAGACTAAATAAGCCCAGGTCCCTCAGTCTTTCCTCATAAGTCATGTCCTCTAGCCCCCTTCCTATTTTTCTCCCCCTCCACTGGACTCTCTCCAATTTGTCCACATTCTTTCTGTAGTGGGGGGCCCAAAATTGAACACAGTACTCCAGAAGTGGCCCCACCAGTGCTAAATAGAGGGGAATAATCACTTCCCTTGACCCACAGGCAACAACCCTAACAATGCAGCCCAGTATGCCATTAGCCTTCTTGGCAACAAGGGCACGCTGCTGACTCATATTAAGCTTATTGCCCACTGTAACCCCCAGGTCTTTTTCTACAGAGCTGCTGCCCAGGCAGTCAGCCCCCAGCCTGTACTGGTGCATGGGATTGTTCCATCCCAAGTGCAGGACTTTGCACTTGTCCTTGTTGACCCTCATGAGATTTCTTTGGGCCCAATTCTCCAATTTGTCTAGGTCACTCTGAATCCGTACCCTACCCTCCAGTGCATCGACTACTTCCCCCAGCTTGGTGACACTGGCAAACTTGCTGAGGGTGCACTATGCCATCTTCTAGGCTGTTAATGAAGACATTGAACAAGGCCAACCCCTGGGGCACTCCACTTGACACCAGCTGCCAACTAGACACTGAGCCATTTATTAGTACCCCCTGAGCCCAATGCTCCAGCCAGTTTTCTAACCATTTTACAGTCCATTCATATAGCCCATACTTCCTTAGCTTCCCTGCAAGAATGTTGTGGGAGACTGTATCAAAAGCATTGCTAAAACCAAGGTACACCACATCCACAGAGTTAGTTTTCTCATCATAGAAAGCAATCAGGTTGGTCAGGCATGACTTGCCCCTGGTGAATCCATTCTGACTGTTCCTAAGCACAATTTTTTCCTCCAAGTGCATCTGCAATTAGGAATTTGGCAGAACAGAGGTGACACTTCTAGAGCCAGATGCAGCAGCTCTGTAATCAAAAGCCAACTTCAGTGCAAAACATAGCATTGGTACCTGCACTGCAGCCCATCATCTGGCTCAGTGCTTAAACCAGAAACAAAAATAGCTATTTCAAGCATAACCTTGACAGAGGAAAACATCTTAAAGACTGGGGCTTATTGTGAATCCTACAGAGGTATTGAAACAAGGACAATTCCAGTAACAACTGCAGGTCTTTTTCTAGCTACAGATTCCCAGACTCAAGAACACCTATGGAAGCGGGGAACCCCACATTGTTGTTTCACTCGGCCCTGTTCCATGGGTACCCTTAAGAGGGAGGTGCTGGTCATCAATCAGCTTGTCCTGTCTATGCTCTTGAACCAGCTCAACACCGTGCCTGTACTATTGAGCATTCTGGTCATTCTTCAAAGATGGGTGCTGGGGTTCCTTTCGCCAGGACTGCATTGGATCTCTGCAGGCATCCTGTGACACCCTTTGTGAGAAGTAGGGGCAGGGCCTAGTTTGCATCTCCAGCCAAGTGCACACCTTTTGTCTCTAGACTCTAGAGACTCCTTTGCAGTGCCAGCTGTTAGGCAGCATGGTGCTCAATAGGGCATGCCTTCCTATGTTGCCTCCAAGGGTTCTGATATTAATGGCAGCTCTTCTACCTAAGGTCTCCCCATACAAGACCTCAGCAAGCTGCCAGACATCTACCATGACTTCCTCAGGACCTGGAGGCGAGTCTCCTCATCCATATCCACAGATACAGGCATCTAGGGTACAAACCTCCTTACTGAACCCCTGCTGAAAAACCAGCATCTGGTGGTACCAGTGATGGAGGTGTCCTGGGTGTGCTGGCGATGGTCCTGGCTAACATCACTTATATTAGGACCTCCTGGGCTTTGTCAGGCAGGGATGAGCCAGTGTAGAGTTGTTCACACTGCACATGACCTGCCACTTACTCTAGGATGCCAAGACTACCCAGCTGTCAACATTCCTTGCCTATAACGAACAAGTCCTGTGGAAGGGTAGTTTCTGTCCACCCATACCCCCCCAGTCCTTCAGAGCTTGTTGTGGGGTCTCTGCCTTGACAGACCTCCCAACACTCGCAACTGCACCACCTCAGTAGGCTGGGGGACATCAAACCAATGCAATTCTGGACAGTCCATTGCTGTCAACTCTACGTACTTAAGCTCCCTACCATTCACCATCCTGCCCTTGCATCTCACCCAGACACCAAATGTCAGGACACCTTCACTGAGGGCAAGGGTCCCCAGAGGATCAACTTGTATTTCTTCTCAATCCTATGAGCCATGGGAATCTAGGCTGGCTGCTCCTACACAGAGTCATCAGCATGGGCATGTAGCTGGTGCACTTTAGAGTCCCCTAACACTTGACCTTTCTGTAGTTAAAAGGAGACCATTGTGCATGCCTAGCTTGACTGTGCCAGGTTGCACAGCCCCTCTACAGCCTCAAGAGCCTGTTATTGAGGATTTGGCCACACTTTTCCCTACGCCTTTTATTTTATGCACATCTACACACTCCTTAGATAAGTTCAAAGGGCAGTCGGTACTAGTCAGCATTTTCTGATTGGTATCCTCTCAAATCATTTTCTGATCGGTAAACACCTCCTTCATTATTAGTTTTCATCCTCTGTCCCAAGAATTTAGTTTTATACAGTTAGCTGCTTCCCCCTAATCCTTGAGGGGT